TCCAAAGGCACATTGTGGGTGTTCAATTCCTTTGGCACAGTTTACAATATTTTTTCCCTTCATAGTTCACCACAATGTGTAAAACTGTCGTCATGCTTTTAGCGTTACTTTTAATTTGGCATCGTATCAAAACAACGTCTCCTTTAGAGATGGAATTAGTTGATTTTTCTCTCTCGTTTGAAATAACCCGCTCCTGCCCATAGAATGCTTTTGTGGAATGCTGCTACAGCCAAACTTAGCTCAGGCATATGCACATGTTTAGAAGTGCACACACCTCTACCCCTGGGCACCCTGCCCTGCACAAATTCCATAATTTCCCTTTGTCCATCTTAAGATCCAGCAATAGTTCTACACCATGTTTGCCCCGGGAACAAAACGTGAGTGCAGGTTCTGTAAATGTGAAATGGTACTAGCAACCTGCTTTTGCTATTTTTCATTGTTACTGGGTTTAGATAGTTTAGTATAATGTTTTAATTTCAGTGAATCTTTCATGGGCTGATCCACTGTTTGCTGATCACCCTGTTTTCATTTCTCCCCTTGGTATTGCTTGGAGTGCCAACATTGTGTAAAGTGTCCCAGCCGTTAGGAGTTATTTTAGTTCCTTTCCCACCCATTTTCTCCCGTTTCCACGAATCCCTCGGATACATCCGAGGCGGCGAGGTGTGACTGCACTCGCGGGGTCAGGGTGTGCCGTGCGGGTTGGTGGCGACGGGCGCTGTCCCCGCACCCCGCGCTCACACTCTCCTCGGCGCGGGGGCGCCCCCTGGCGGCGTGGGGGGGCCGGGGGGGGCGGTGCCTCGCGCAGCCAATGGCGCGAGCCCGGCGCGTTCAAACAGGGCGGGGGCGGCGCGGCGGTTGTGGAGGCTCCGCGCAAAGGTGAGGGCCGGGCCGGGCCGGGCCGGGCGGGATGGGGCGGACAGAGGGGGGGGGTCACCCTCCGCGTCCCGGCGGGGCTTGCACCTTCCCGGAAGGGCTTTCGGGAGCGCTTTCGGTAGCCGCGGGGCTGTGGGCAGCGCGGGGTGCGGGGTCCGCTGCCGCCTCCTCGCCCTCTGGCTGCGGGCGGGCCCGTAACGCGGCCCCGCGGGCTCAGCCGGGAGGGACGGGGGGCTTTGCTGAGGGATAACGGGGCTGCGGGTTCTCCTGCGCCCTCACCCAGCTCTGAGCACGGGGGGTTCATCTCTGCTTGGTGGTTGTAATCGTTTAAAAACGAGGAGCGAGCGTACTTCTCGTTCTGAGTTCGGCTCTTCCGAATGAAAGAGCTCCTAATGAGGAGTTTCACTTTTCTCCGGAGAAACTTTGTGTATGTTCACAAGGCACAGCTATGGCAAGAGGAGGGGAGAACTTTCTTGCG